TGTTTTCTCTATATGGCATTTTTGCTCTTTAGGGAGACAGAGACAAAGAGAGAGAAAGTGAGAAATAACTCCCCAGGAGGGATGGTCACACCACAATCCCTATCCTCCATTCTCTTGGATTTTGGGCATGCATGCACATGCACCCGATGTGTTTCAAATTGCTGGGCCCAGGACTCGAACCACAGTCAGCCGTGTGGGAGTCTAGAGTCTTACCCACCATGCCACCTGTCGGCCCCTTTCATTTCTTTTTATGGACAGATAATATCCCATTAAATAAATTTATATACATTTTACCCATTGACTTATTGATGACATTTGGGTTGTTTCCATTTTTTGACTATTATGAATAGTTCTGGTATGGAACATTAATGTGCAATTTTTTGATAGATATACATTTTTATTTCTCTTGGGTAGGTACCTAGGAATGGAATTGGTGGATCAAACGGTAACTCTATATTTAACCTTTTAAGGGACCAGCAGTTGGCATAATAGCTAGTCACTGGACTCCCATGTAGTCGACCGCAGTTCGAGTCCCAAACCTGGTGGCTTAAACTCATGCCAGGTGCATGTGCGTGCGTGCCCAAGATCCTGAGAGGAGAACGGAGGAGAAGGGATTGCAGCATGGCCATTCCCCCTGGGGGGTGATTTCTCGCTTTCTGTCTCTCTGTCTCTGTCTTTCTGGCGAGCACACACATCCTATAGCAAAAAAACAAACAAACCAAAAAAGAACACCTCTCCAAAAAAAAAGAAAACTTTGTGCTTAGTCCAGTCCCTGGACTCCCACATGGCCAACCATGGTTCAAGTCCCAGACCTGATAGCTTGCTTTCTCAGTTTCTCTCTCTCTCTAACCAAACTGGAAAACAATAATAATAAATAAAGTTAAATAAAATAAATAATTCTTTTAAAAAATTTTAACCTTTTGGGACCAGCAGTTAGAGTAATGGGTATGTCACTGGACTCCCAGTAGTCGACCGCAGTTTGCATCCTGGACCCAGTGGCTTAAACTCACGCCGGGCGCGTGTGCGTGCATGCCCAAGATCCTGAGAGGAGAATGGAGGAGAAGGGATTGTGGTGTGACCATCCCCCCTGGGGGGTGATTTCTTGCTTTCTGTCTCTCTGTCTCTCTCTGTCTGTCTGGCGAGCGCATGCGAAAACCTCTCCAAAAAAAAATTTTTTTAACCTTTTAAGGAACTGCTAGACTGTTCTATTGGTTGCACCATTTTACACTAGTAACTATTTTAGTCTTTTTAGGATGCCTTCAAAATTAAAAAAAAAAATTTAGCATAGTTTTTAAAAAAGAATTATTTCTTCTTTTCCTCCTCGCCCTCCTCCCTTCCTCTCCCTTATCCCCTTCCCCTCTCCCTCCTCCTCCTCTTCCTCCTCGCCCTTAAATATAGTTCTTAAACCTTAAACCTTTCTCATAGATAATTTCAAATAGGTAAAAGCAGATAGAATAGTATAATATAATGAATTTCCATGTATCTGTCACTCCACTTCAGTAATTATCAGCTGATGACTAGTTTTCCTTCATCTATACCTCTTCCAACCCCACCCAAGTTATTTTGAAGCCAAAACCAGACGTCATACTATTTTACACTGTGAATATTTTAGTACATTTGTCTGAAAGATAGGGACTCTTCTTTAAAATATCACAATGCCATGCTAAAATAGTAATTCCCTATTATTATCAAAGTCAGCCTTTACATTTCCCTAGTTGTCTCATACTTAGTTTAGAAGTTTCTTTGCATTGAGTTTCAGTAAAATCCACATATTTCAGCTTGTCATGTGTCATAAGTTTCTTTCTTTTTTAATTGCCAGAGGGTTTGCGGGCTTGGCAGAGAAAGAGGGGATGGTGGGAGGTTGGGGGAGAAAGCACTCCTCAATGGGACATGGTCATGCTGCAATTGCTTCTCCATTTCTCCATCCTTTTGTGATTTGGGACATGCACACATGCATTCCTTGCATGTTTTCCAAGCCACTGGGGCCAGGATTCAAATCTTGTTTGGTGATGTGGGATCTGTTTGGTGATGTGGGCCATCCCATAGATTATTTTAAGCTATAAGTTTCCTCTCATTCCTTTTTTTATTTTGAAAGAAAATGGTCTTTTGTATACTAGAGTTGTTCACAGTGTGGATTGTGTTCATTCTATCCATGGATTCATTTTATATTTTTCTCTGTACATTATTTCCTGTAAATTGATAGGTAGATTTAGGCTTAATCACCATTCTTTGATTTAGGAGGAGGTGGGGCAAAACTATTTTGTGGCAGTGTTGTATTCTACTAAGAGGTACTTAATAGTCTTCTGTCTTTCATTTTGTACAACAGAAACCATTGATGAATTTGTAGAGATCTGTTAATTCAGAAGTAGCAAAATGCTGGTATTCTAATTCTGTCATTCTTTTGCCATGGAAAATTCATTTTCTTTTTCTTTCTTTCTTTCTTTCTTTTCTTTTTTTTTTTTTTTTTTTTTTTGAGAGGTTTTTGCTATAGGGTAGGGACAGGATATTGGGAATACAGTGTCTTGGCTATCTATTACAGCTGTCGTTTTTATAATAGCTATTGTTCCCCATCCCTGGTCATCTACCATTTTAGGTAACTCTGAAAATTCTGAGTGATTTTTTTCTGCTTCTCCACTGTTCAATGTTCTAAAATAAACATGTTTTACTTTATTAAAAACAACAGGGTTTTTCTTTAAAAAAAAATTAGAACCAGGGACCAGCAGTTAGCATAATGGCTATGTCGCTGGACTCCCACGTAGTCGACTGGTTTGCGTCCCGGACCCTGTGGCTTAAAACTCACACTGGGCACATGTGCGTGTGTGCCCAAAATCCCAAGAGGAGAACGGAGGAGAAGGGATTGCGGCGTGGCCATCCCCCCTGGGGGTGATTTCTCGCTTCTGTCTCTTTGTCTCTCTCTGTCTGTCTGGCAAGTGCACGCGCCCTATAGCAAAAACCTCTCTTAAAAAAAAATTAGAACCAATAAATTTTTATCTATATAGAACTAGTTTAATTTGCCTTTATGTAGAAAGGAAAGGCTATAGGGAACCAGCAGTTAGCGTAATGGCTATGTTGCTGGACTCCCACGTAGTCGACTGCGGTTTGTGTCCCGGACCCGGTGGCTTAAAACTCACGCTGGGCACGTGTGCGTGCGTGACCAAGATCCCGAGAGGAGAATGGAGGAGAAGGGATTGCGGCGTGACCATCCCCCCTGGGGGTGATTTCTTGCTTTCTGTCTCTATGTCTCTCTCTGTCTGTCTGGTGAGCGTACGCGCCCTATAGCGAAAACCTCTCCAAAAAAAAAAAAAGAAAGGAAAGGCTATAAACTTTATACTCTTAAGTATAATTCTGTAATAAAGTGACAAAAATATTTTGCAAATAAGATGAGAACAGAAAGTTTATGGGAAGCATAAAGAGATCTAGGGATGGATCCTAGACAAAAGATTTATAGTCTGTGCAGGGAGGAAAGAGATGAGACATAAATACTGCTATGTACTCAAAAGTAGACCTGACAAAGTTAAAACACTTTCTAAATATTAACTTTTTATCTGATTCAGCAGTCCCATCACTACAGCAAATAATAAAGCGAAGCAAAAGATAAAATTATGTATCTGTGCCCAAAAATAAAATTCAGGAGCAGGTGGCCTTCAGTACCTCTCTACCCTTTGCTGTAGCCTGCAGTGGACTCTGTACACATATTTCAGTGAAAGTAAATTAGTCACCAGTGCTCTGTAGTAGCTAGGAATGTGGAAGCTGAGTTCAAACTAATAATAGACAAGTTAGAATTCTAAGCTTGAAAAACAGTTTTTTGGGTATCACACTTCTAGCTCAGGATGAAAGATTTTATACATATATAAAATACATTTTATATATAATATCTCAGAGAGAAGAGAGAGGTATTTTAAAGAAATTATTATTATTCTTTAATTCACCAGAGAGGGACAGAGTGAGAGAGGGAAAGTGAGAAAGCAAGCCGCCAGGTCCAGGACAAACTGCGGCAGGCATGTGGGTGTCTGGTGCCTTAATCACCGTGCTACCTGCAAGCCCCAGAGAGAGTTGTTTTTTATTTTGACAGGGTCTCACCACATCGCAGTCCTCTTGCCCCAGTCTTCCAGTTGGCCAGGACTATAGGCAGATGCCACCATGTCCAACTTGTTTATGTTGTCTGGGAACTGAACCTAGGCCTCATGTGTAGCCTCAGTCTCTGCATGTGGCACTGCCTGCTTGTACCTCTATGGCTGGGTTTAAATTTTTTTTTTTTTTTAAATTTTGCCAGAGAGTTCATGCACTCACCAGAGAGAAACAGAGACAAGGAAGGTAAGAAAGCACTCCCCATAGGAGGTGCCCACACTGCCATCTCTTCTACTCTATTTCTCCTTCTAAGATTTGAAACACGTGTCTTACGTGTTTTTCCAAAGGACTGGGACTCAGACCACACGGTTGGGCACATGGGATCCAACCGCCTTAACCACAGTACCACAGGCTGGCCAGAAAGGTGTTTTTTTTGTTTTGTTTTGTTTTTTGTTTTGCTATAGGGTGTGTGTACTCACCAGAGAGAGTGAGAGAGAGAGAAATTACCCCTGGGGAGAATGGCCACACCACCATAATCCCTTCTCTGTTCTTTCAGGATTTGGGGCATGCACACACATGCACCTGGCATGTTTTTCAAACTGCCAGGTCCCAGACTCCAAATGGCCAAGTTGGCCATGTGAAATCCAGGAGTCCCAACCATCACATCACTAGTTGATCCAAGGTTGTAATTTTTATGGGGCTATTCTACTATGGCAGAGTAGTGTCATGAAGATATTAGAAAGCTGTTGTTCTAGAAATAAAAAGCTTTTACCTTCCATAGTGCTGAGCTCTCTAGTTTTGTGAATTAACCAGATGTTCCAAAAGAAACTGAGCCATAATAAAGTATAAATTGATGTATTTACCTTTGTTACCAGAAGTGAGGGTAATGGAGTTACGGGAGTGTATGTCAAAGGCCTGTCTTTCTCTAGTAGGTGTGGAGTTTCCAGAAGAAACAAACAGATCTCCTCATCGCCTTTTATAAGAATAGAATTACAAAATTAGAAGCAGTCATGCAGGAGGCACAGCAAACAGTGGCCAGCCAGGACAAGTAAGTGACAGATCAAATCCCTCGATAGCTTTTGTCCTTCAGAGAAACCATAGTCCTTACTTCCTTTTGGTTAAAAACCCAAAAATTATTCCATGTGTTTAGGAAACTCCCTTAAATCTCCATTTTAGCAAAAATCTCTAAAAACATACATACACACACACACACACACACACACACACACACACACAAACAAAAAACTGCTTCTTCAGAGAATTGACATGTAGTTGATGCACTGATAAAAAGTGAGAGGTAACATTTAAAATGTTACTTCTGGTGACTGGCAAATGGTATAATGGTTATGTCCCACACGGCCAACCGTACCTGGAAGCTTGAAACTCACACTGGCTTGTGTGAGTGAATGTGCTGAGTCTTGAGAGGAGAATGGAAGAAAAGGGATTGCGGCATGGTCATTCGTCCTGGGATGGGGGGTGGGGGTTGATTTCTTGCTTTCTGTCTCTGTCTTTTTGGCAAACACATATGCCCTATAGCTAAAATCTCTCTTTAAAAAAATGTTATGCCTGGGAGGGTATATTTTGGAAATCTTGAGTTAAAAGATGGTATGCTTACTGGGAATTTTTAGACATGAGCAGGCTATGAATGCTTTTGTGGTGAGGAAATGGAATTCTATGCAAACTCCCTGGAAATCACACCAAGTGACTGTTTATTTTGTCCACCTGATTGTTCTCACTGCTGAAACCCAGTTATTGTCTCCATGAATCTCCAGATTCCTGGTAGAAATAAATACCTTGTATGGGGACCAGCAAATGGCATAATAGTTATGTTGCTGGACTCCCATGTAGTTGACCATGGTTCAAGTCCTGGATCTAGTTGCTTTAAAACTCATGCTGGGTGCATGTGCGTGCATGCCCAAGATACTGAGAGGAGAATGGAAGAGAAGGGATTGTGGCATGGCCGTCCTCCCGGGGGTGATTTCTTGCTTTCTGTTTCTCTGGCAAGAGCATGTGCCCTGTAGCAAACATTTCTCTCTGAAAAATAAAGAAATACCTTGTACAACCACAAGCACCTCTTAGTAAGCATTAACTAGATGTTGATAATAATAATAATAAACAGATTTTTGTATCCCTCGAATCTGCTGGAAGTGACTGTTTCCATCTTTTACCTAGAGAGCTGTCAATGTTAAGAAAAGAGAATGGAGAACTGAAGAAATTTCTAGCCATCCTAAAGGTGAATGAAATAATTTTTCCATACTATTGTTTTTCTCTCCTCCTTTCCAATCTATGTAGCTGACTATAAAATAGTTGTTTCCTACCCTTTTTCACCTCATGGCACACATAGAAACTGGTAACATTTGTACAACGAGCACAATGCAGTAAGTAGACAAGGCCACAGGAGACCTTGGAGGGCTGAAGGGATCAATGTTCAGCATGTAACCCATTCTCATACATCAGTGAATCATGACATACCAGTTGGGAAGCTCTTTTATAGAAGAGACAACTTAAACTTACTCTTCAAGAATTCCAAGGGAACCAGCAGTTAGCGTAATGGCTATGTCGCTGGACTCCCACGTAGTCGACCGCGGTTCACGTCCCGGACCCAGTGGCTTAAAACTCACACCGGGCGCGTGTGCGTGCGTGCGTGCCCAAGATCCTGAGAGGAGAATGGAGGAGAAGGGATTGCGGCGTGACCATCCCCCCTGGGGGGTGATTTCTCGCTTTCTGTCTCTATGTCTCTCTCTGTCTGTCTGGCGAGCTCACGTGCCCTACAGTGAAAATCTCTCCAAAAAAAAAAAAAAAAAAGAATTCCACCTTACAGTACCCTTCTTTTTTCATATACTCTATTTCCTAGACCTTTCTTTCTTTTTTCAAGAGAAATTTTTTTTCTATATGGCACATATGCTTGCCAGAGACACAGATAGAGAGAGAAGTAAGAAATCACCCTCCTAGGGGAGACGGCCACATTGCAGTCCCTTCCCCTCCATTCTCCTCTTGGAATTTTGGGCACGCACGCACATGTGCCCGGCATGAGTTTGAAGCCTCCAGGTCTAGAACTCGAACCACAGTCGGCCATGTGGGAGTCCAGCGCCTTAACCACTTCAGGGGACCTGCTGGCCCCCAACATTTCTTTCTTTCAAGCTCTTTATGTAGTTTTCTATTGTTCCCTGTAACTACTCTAGCACATCATTATAGTGTAATTTTCCATTCTCTCCCCATAAACTCTCCATATTTTTTTTTGAGAGATTTTCACTATAGGGCGCGTGTGCTCGCCAGACAGACAGAGAGAGACATAGAGACAGAAAGTGAGAAATCACCCCCCAGGGGGGATGGTCACGCCGCAATCCCTTCTCCTCCATTCTCCTCTCGGGATCTTGGGCACGCATGCACAAGCGCCCGGCGTGAGTTTTAAGCCACTGGGTCCGGGATGTGAACCGCGGTCGACTACGTGGGAGTCCAGTGACATAGCCATTACGCTAACTGCTGGTTCCTGACTCTCCATATTTTACCACATATATTAGTCTATAGGATTCCGAAGGTACTCTTATGAAGAGAAACTAAAATTTTATTCACTCAGAGTTAATTTTCTAAGGACACATTGCTACTATGTTTTCCCCTACTGGGAATCTTAGCAAAAAACTAGGGGTTCAATGCAGCATAATTATCTAAGAAGTAATACTAAGATCCTGGCTGGATTGAAGTGCAACCTCTCCATGGGGAACACTTCTCTCTCTTCCTCTTCTCTGCCTCTTTCTGCCTTTCTGGCAAGCACACATGCCTTCTAGCACATTTTTTTTAAAAATATAAGACTGAGGTTTATTGATTAGGATTCTTGATCTGCAGCTTCCTTCACTCCCATTTTTTCACCTACAGGAATCTCCAAGTCGGTACCAAGGAAGCAGGTCAGTTTTATCTGCATTCATACTGCCCTCCCTGACTTTGAAAGTTGCTGTTCTTTCTTGACTTCTGGCTGTGTGAGCTCTGAGATGGAGAAAATGGTTGATGAATTTATCTTTCACTTCTCTGTGAGTTACTCACCAAAAAGGACTGAAGTGAAAAATTTTTGGTTTTTTTGGAGAGGTTTTTGCTATAAGGGCGTGTGCGTTTGCCAGACAGACAGAGACAGAGAGACAGAAAGTGAGAAGTCACCCCCCAGGGGGAATGGTCACGCCGCATCCCTTCTCCATTCTCCTCTTGGGATCTTGGGCACGCACGCACATGTGCCTGGCGTGATTTTTAAGCCACCGGGTCCGGGACGTGAACCGCGGTAGACTACGTGGGAGTCCAGCGACATAGCCATTATGCTAACTGCTGGTTCCCTGAAGTGAAATATTGATTGTAATGCTCACACTTGATTGTCATAATATGAAATCCCACTTGTCCTTCAAAATTCAACCCATGTCATTTCTTCTCTCAAGACCACATTAGGGTCCTTTTGGCCGGAACCGCCATCTTCCAGTAATTAACCAAAATGACGAACA